GATAGATAGATAGATAGATAGATAGATAGATAGATAGATAGATAGATCTTAACAACAACTGAAGTGATCAAAGCACGTTACAGTAAAAGTTGCATCACAAAACAAAAGCAAAAGTCTTTAGCTTAGACTTAAAAATTCTCTGGTCTAAAGTTAAATGAAGATCTAAAGGGAGGTTGTTCCAAAGTTGGGGTGCTGCTACCGAAAAGGCCCCCAGTGCTTTAACCTCAATCTTAGGACGTCCAATAAGAGGTGACTTTATGACCTCAGGGATCTCCCATACACAGGGATACTTCAAAGTTCACATGAGTAAGGAGTGGCTGGTCCATTTACGGCTTTTAAACATTTAAAGATTTTGTTGGCTCTAGTGGCCTTTAACTCATTGACTGCCAAAGACGTCTATAGACGTCTTTTATGTTTTTCAACGAGAGTGGCTGGGGGACGATCTGCTAAAGCTTGTTCGTAAATATCAGGCTTCTAGACAGAGTATGTAGTAACAAATTGACCCTCTAGGTGGCAGTGCCACTTTTGATGGGAGATAAGCATAGATTGTAGGCAAATAAGAAAAAGGTAACGGTTCGCTATGAGAGAACATGTCGCCGGTGAGACGCAAGTCCAGGAAGAACGGAATAAGCTAGAAACAACATTTTTTTCCTGATGAAAGAAGAGAGTCTACTCTTTCTTTTGGTGTGTTCGGTGTTTACATAGTCATAGCACGCACAAACTATTCTGTGGCTCTTGAAAAATCAGTCAAAATGCTCAAAAAACTCTGGCAGTATGGGACTCTCTGTTCTGAAAATGGCTGGCAGTCAATGAGTTAATGACAGTAGCTTGACAGGAAAGGGGGCACAGAGATAAACATTACGATTTTAGACTCAGTTGTGAGATGAACGGGGAGCTTGGGGGGGGGTTTGGGGGGGTGCTCTGCCGGCCTGAATTCGCCCCTCCTCCCTGTGTTTCTGCAGCACCCTGAGCAGCGAGGTGGGCCCCGAGTGCTACGAGCTGCAGGTGTGTGTGAAGGACTACTGCTTCGCGCGGGAGGACCGCACGGTGGGCATGGCCGTGCTGCAGCTGAAGGACGTGGCCTCCAAGGGCAGCGTGGCCTGCTGGCTGCCGCTGGGCAAGCGCGTGCACATGGACGAGACGGGCCTCACCGTGCTGCGCATCCTGTCCCAGCGGAACAACGACGACGTGGCCAAGGAGTTCGTCAAGCTCAAGTCGGACCAGCGCTCCGCCGAGGAGGGGCGGGGCTAAAGGGGCTAAAGGGGAAATCCAGGCCTGGGAAATCCAGTGTTGTAAAAGCACAGAAACACAGAAACCGCCACATCCGATGCTGTAAATACACTCATTCCAGTGGAGACACCGGAGCGTGTTTCCAGCTCCAAACACACACACATACACACACACACAGACACACACACACACACACGCAGAGTCAGGGTCAAATCTCGTAGCCTTTAATGCTTCTGGCTTTTCTCTCTCCCGCTCTCCTCTGCCTTCTCAAGCTCTCCTACACCCCCCCCAGTCCTCACCCCATTCGCTGGTTAGTGCCCACTAAAAGAAAGGGACCACAAGTGCCAACAGATAACCGCTGAGATACGCTGAGAGCACAAGAGGAGCGGCTGTCCGGCAGCCTCAAACATTCCAGATACCGGTGGGGGGGACACAAACAGGGACAAAAGCACTACTTATTCTATGGTTTGAGATTATTTACCTCCTTATTCTAGATTATATTTGTATTTGATAATTCTCTAAAAGCACCATATAGGTATATATACAAATATGAAAGACATATAAAAAGATACAGGATCGGTGGATGGACGTGTTGGTACTTGAAAGATTGTCTGTGTGTCTTTCTGTCCGTCTGCCCTGAAACACAGCACACTGCCTGACACCCTCAATGCCTTCTGTCCCGTCCACCCTTGTTCACGATGTTTGTGTATCAACAGACAAACCGGATGTGTGTGAACGTGTGTGTGTGTGTGTGTGTGTGTGTGTGTGTGTGTGTGTGTGTGTGTGTGTGTGTGTGTGAACGTGTGTGTGTGAGCGCGATCGGTTCCCGTGTTCAGCTCCCATAACTGCCCGTGTTGCCTGTTGACTGGAAGTGGGACCACAGAGAGAAGCCATCACAAGCAGATCAGATTTTAGGGGAATTCTTGGGTTTGTGTGTGTGTGTGTGTGTCTGGCTGTGAGTGTGTATCCTTTCGCCCTCATCATTGTAGAAGAGGAATTAACTGCCACCTCTAAAATACTCATAATAGTTAAAAAACTGCCAAATAAGACCCTGTAGAAAAGCGTTTTAAAGGTTTTTAAACCGCTGAGCTCGGCGGTTTTACAGGGTGTCACAAAGCCCAAACGACCACCCTAATCGCCAGCCCACGGCCTGGTCCCGGTCCGGCTGCAGGTGGATCTGGTTCAGGAAGAGGGACCTCTGCTAAAGGGCTGCCGATCCGGACCGCAGCAGGTCTGGATCTGACATTTAAAAGAGGCCGTTCAGTCCAACAAAACCAAATTGCAGTGAGACTCAGAAGCACTGAAACCACCGGTTTCCTACGACCCTCGAACTAATCACTGCCGCCGCTCTGGAGTGGAGCTAGATGGTGGACTTCTGCATGCCTCTTTTCTGTGACCACTGCTCGGCCGGTCAGAGGTCCAAATGCTTGTTAACAAAAAAGAATCAATAAAAAAAAAATCAAAATTAATGATGGGGGTTTTCTGGATTTGAAAAATTGGGGTGGTTTCCCCCTTTTCTGCCTCATGGCTTCACAAGGCCCCCCTCCTGATTGGAACAAGGTGTAAGAACTGAACTCTATGCATCTTATCTATGAATTCAATGTAGATGAGTCGTTTTTGAAGCAGTCTTATAATGTTTACATGGTGGATTATTGTTCTAATTATATCAGCACGAGCGTTCGTCCGCTGTGTGGTGAATGCTGTGCGTCTTAATGGGCCAAATGTCGAATCTGTTGTGGAGCTGGCGGGCGGCTGAACGGCGTTTTCCACGCAGGAAAACGCGTCCCGAGGGGAGACGGATTGTCTGTAAATAGCGCGGATGTCGGGCCAAGTTTGCTGCTCTTTCGTAAACTTGAATTTTGCTCAGAGACCACGAGGCCGACGGTCATTCATCTATCTGGACATGTAGCAACTTAGTGGCAGACGCAGGAAACGCCTGTGGGATGAATAACAAGCCATAGGAGTCCACTTAGTCCAGGGGGGGGCAACTCTGGGCCTAGAAGGCCAACGTCCTGCAGGTTTTAGAGACTTTTCTACTTCTACACACCTGAGTCCCATCGGCCATCTTTAGAAGAGATCAGTCTGATCTGGATCTGGTGTGTAGAAGCCGGGAAACCTCCAAAATAAACCTCCAAAAGCTGCTGTAAAATGGCCCCCAAGGCCTATGGTTACCCCCCTGACTTAGTCCGATTAGGAGCCAGATTTCTGACGTCATCACTCGTCATCCTTCTTACATCACACCGATGAAAACTGAGCTAAGCGTGTCCCGGCGTGAGCGCGGCCTTTTGGGGTCTTTTCCTCACTTCTGGAAATGCCACGACAACTCTCTCCCGAGGGCAACCGTAGGACGAAGCACAAAGAAAAGCGCCCGGGGGTCCCGGCACGCATGATCCAGGCCCCCCCACCGGGCCGCATCTCCCCCCCCCCCCCCCCCGCCCGCACGCTACTTCCACAAACGGTGCATGACAGGAACAAGAAAAAAAAAACAGCCAGAAACAAACGTATTGTTCCAGCACGCGTAATTATTTGATGTTAAAATGCCAATGGTTGTCCCCATTTGTTTTGATATTTTTTCATTCTTTCTATTTTTCAAATGTTTGTGAATATATAAATATGTATTACCGATGACGTGTAGTGGTACAAAGTACTGGCATGAGGATTTTTTTATACAGAGATGTTTCTAATTTTGTTTTTTCTCTTTTTTTTTCTTTTTTTTTTTTAATTCTGGATGTTCTTACTGGGGGTCGAGGTTCCTGAGACTGCGGTCTCACTGTGTTTCTGCTTCCAATAAAACATGAAATAGAATCTTCGTGTCTTCTCTGATTTATTTCAAAAGACAGGAGTCTGTCAAAGTTATCTAAATTCCACAAGTTGGGGGTTTGTTTTGTAAAATCAGATCTGCTTTCTTAAGCCTTGCGCAGGAAGGAGAGCTTGAGGGAGTCTGGGATGAGCAGCTCCTCGGCTCTGGGGACGGGGGCGGGCAGGTCTGGGAAGGTGACGGGAAACGGCCTCCTCAGGTCCATCAGCAGCTGGGGGGGGTGTTTGTCCGGGCGGCCCCTGAGCAGCCCCTGAGAACAGACACAGACAGGCTGAGAACGGGGCCGCCTCCGGGAGCCAGAGGCCCCGTCCAAACCCACGGACCTGAACGCTCCGGATGAAGTTCAGAGTCACCCTCTCGTCCAGGTCGCTGTGCGGCGTGTAGAGGGTCAGAATCTTCACAATCTGGGGAGCGAAAAACAGTTCAGCACGTCCACCAAAACTGCTCAACCCTCAACAACATTGTTGGTTTTAACCCGATTCTTTACTTGGAAAATTGACGATAAACCAGAGTAGATCAAAAAGTATAAAAAATTACATTTATTGGGTCTTAGTTAAGTATATCAGCTGGGATCTAACAGACAAAAACCTCTCTCTGGGTCAAAGAGCCCTGAGATCTGGGTGTGATGGGCATTATCTCCTGGGCTCGATCCGCCTCCTCAAAGGAGGACTGGACACAACCAAGTCCTATTGGCCAGTCACCTCTTGATATAAACAGGCCAGGTCCTAATTCATGCAGATTATAATGGAATGTGGTAACAAATGGTGTGTGTTTGTGTTGACCTAAAGGTGGATCTAATGCAACAGAGAAAGAAAATGAGAGAAAAGAGAGTCCATGGACACAGCCAGAGACTTAAATATAGTTCTAAAAGAAAAGAAAACAATCAGTAATTTACATAGATCATGTGATAGCATACAATGCTAAAGTGAGTAATTTTAGCCAGATTTTGACATTGTCAAAAGCCCCGAGCGGGCCGACGGGCCCACCTGCTGGCTGGAGAGGGCGGTGCAGGTCTGCACGATGGCCTCCGCGTCCGCCTCCGTCTTTTTCCCCACCTGCAGCAGCTGCACCGCCTGGATGAGGGGCTCCAGCGCCGCGGCGGCGCCCCCTGCCTGCACGCCGCGGCTGCGCAGCCACTCCTCCAGCAGGCTCACGTTGTAGCTGAAAACCAGGAGGAAGCACAGAGAGAGCCTCATTACCGGAACTACATCCCACACCCCTGTGCTTTGAAAGGTTTGAGTGAATTAGATCTCTGATTGCTTCTGGGAAATGCAGCAGAAAGGGGAGTGGCTATGCTAGTGGGTTGTTTATTAGGAGTTTTTGTAACAGAATTCAATTAAATTCAATTTGATTTCTATAGTGCCACGTCTAAGCAACAGGTATCTCCCAGCTTTCCAAACAGAGCAGCTCAGACTCTGAGTAATTTACAGAAGAGCAGCACTAGGCGACACAGGGAAGGAAAAACTGCCTTTTAACAGGCAGAAACCTGGAGCAGAACCATGGCCGGTTGGGGGGTGAGAGAAAGAGAGGGCAAGAGAGAGAGGGCGAGAGAAGGACAGAGGGAGCAGAGAGAGGCAGCCAACACAGTAACATATAGACTGGATGAAAAATGGCAAAGATAATGATACTAATGATAATGATAGCAGTTATGATAGCAATAAGACTATGAACAGTTGCTGTAATTGTAGCAGAGTAGGAACACAAGGGGGGGGGGCAGGAAACTCCCAATCACAGATCCAGCTTCCACAGCTCTAGGAACCCCTGCAGGAAGTGACAGGAGGAGACTCCCAACCACAGATCCAGACCCCACAGTCAAGTCAAGTCAAGTCAAGTCAAACTTTATTTATATAGCACATTTAAACTAACCAAGGTTGCCAAAGTGCTGTACATAGAAAGCATGTATATGTGATTTTAATGTAAAAATAAATAAATAAATAAATAAATAAAGAAGGTAAAAAGGTGCTCTAAGGTTAAAATGTTAAAAGTGACACAAACAGAGAAAGAAATGAAGAGCAAACTGTTCTCATCTAAAAGGAAACAACAGTCAAAGTCAGCTCCAGAAGCTGAACAGACAGAAGGCGCTGCGTATCGCACACGTGCACGTTCCCGTGCGCGTTCCCGTGCACGTTTCCGTGCGCGTTCCCGTGCACGTTTCCGTGCGCGTTCCCCGTACCGGATCTGCATGCCGCGGCTCCAGCTGCACACGTCCTTCCTGAGCAGCAGGTTGTTGAGGGCCCCGGCGCAGATGAGGTGGCTGGTTCTCCTGAAGGCCTGCTCCTGCAGCCCGGGGGGCAGCAGCTGCCGGCTGAGGGCGGCGTGCAGCGCCCCCAGCTCCCTCAGCACCGCCGCCATGGTGGGGGGGGCCTCCCCCCCCCCCGCCGGGGGGCGGGGCTCCGAGCCCGCCCGCTTCCTGGACGCGCCCAGCTTCACCCCCCCGGAGCCCGACAACCCCGCGATGGTCTCGCTCTCCAGCAGGGCCGGGACTGAGGAGGGAGGGGTCAAAGGTCAGGGGTCAGGGGACACACCAGGGGGGGGGTGCTTAGAGATAGGGTTGTCACGATACTAAAATTTTCAACTCGATACCGATACTCAGGAAAATACTCGATACTCGATAACATTTTCGACACCACAAGGATAAAAACAAAGACCCCAAAATTTAACTGAATTGTGTCTTTCATTTTAAACTGACCTGTTTCTGATGTTATCGTGACTGGTGGCCCACATTAATGACCCTAATCCTAACCCTAACCCTCCAGCCTTCATAATTGTGAGAAATAAATATTTTTTGGTTAAACTCGTTTGGACTTATTGTACAAACCGATTTAATATACACTATTTTAGAGTTTTATTAAGTGTTTGAAAGATTCATTTAACTATTTTTAAATTAATGTCTATATTGCCATGAAGCAATTAGGATTTTCTTGCCTGGGATCTTCCTATTGGTGACCTAGTCAAAATGGCCGACTTGGATGTGGGGGAGTTGGATATGTACTTGATTGGTAGAATAGTATTATTAGCCATTAGCCGCAGCTAGCAAGGCTAACGTCTTGTTAATGATCATAAACAACGTAAATGAATACATAAATAAATCAGCGATACTTTTGAAAATGAGTATCGTATCCGGAGACAACATTTTAGTATCGATACTTTTTCGAGTATCGATACTTTTGACAACCCTACTTAGAGGTACCTATGATGTTCTGGAGGCGGGTCTCGGTGATGGACAGCAGCTGCTGGTAGGCCTGGATGCACAGGTCACTCAGGGAGCGGATGCAGTCGCTCAGGTCCACAGTCAGAGGAACCCGACCGTCCGGGTCAGGAGTCTGAAAAGAAAAAACCCCGTCAGTGACACCAAAAACTCCCGAAAAACCCGAATGAGCGAGAGGCCTGGTACCCGTTTCGGGGAGTGCTGGGCCAACAGGTCGTGCAGCAGCCAGACGTTCTTCAGCCACAGGGCCGTCATGTCCACATCGCCCGCATGTTTCTGCAGGAAAAGAGGAGAACATACGGATGTTCACACAGAATTAAAGCACGATGTGTGTTAGAATTTGGCTAAAAGGCCTCATGCTATAACATAATCTATGTTAATTGGTGACTGTCTTATTCTTTTTAAAACATTACTTTTTGTTAAAGTCTCTGGCTGTGCCCACAGACTCTCTTTTCTCTATTTTTCTTTCTTTGTTCCACACCATTTGTTACCACATTCCTGTCATCTGTATGAATTAGGACCTGGCCTGTTCATGCCCAGAGGTAACTGGCCAATAGGACTTGGTGGTGTCCAGTCCTCCTTTGAGGAGGCGGATCGAGCCCAGGAGATAATGCCCATCACACCCAGATAAAGGTTTTTGTCTGTCAGAGCCCAGCTGATATACTTAATTGTGTCCAATAAATGTCATTTTTGTACTTTTGGTCTACTATGGTATATTCTCAGGTTTCCAACAAGAATCGGGCTAACATGTGGCAGATCTTAAAGGAACAGCATGTCACATATCTCTATGCCCAGTATGAGCTGTTTTTGTGGCTCTCCTGTGAGGTCAGAGGGGGGGCTGGAACAAAGGGGAGGGGTCAGAGCTGGGGTCACCTTCAGAGCCGCCTTCATGGCGGCCACGGCGGCGCTGCAGAGCGAGCGAGCGCGGGTTTGTTCCCCGCTGCAGTCCGCCTGACGGACGCACAGGAACACGACGCTGGCGGCCAGACCAGGAGGCAGGGACAGAGAGCCGTCCACCCGGAGGTCTGAAAAGAAGCCCACACGGCCGAGTCCCATTTGTTAGCAACAACTCCTGAGAGTCCTAGATAGCTAGATAGCTAGAATGATAGGATGATAGCTAGAATGATAGCTACAATGATAGCTAGATAGCTAGATAGCTAGAATGATAGCTAGCTAGAATGATAGCTAGCTAGAATGATAGCTAGAATGATAGCTAGAATGATAGCTAGATAGCTAGATAGATAGCCAGATATCTAGCCAGAATGATAGCTAGAATGATAGCTGGATAGATAGCCAGATATCTAGCTAGAATGATAGCTAAGTAGATACAGTAGATAGATAGATAGATAGATAGATAGATAGATAGATAGATAGATAGATAGATAGATAGATAGATAGATCGATAGATCGATAGATCGATAGATAGATAGATAGATAGACTAACCTGTGATGAGGTTCTTCAGGAGCTTGGATTCGTCTTTTTTCCGACACTCCAGCAAACCTGGAACGGCTGCCGCCTTTGGCTGATGTGGACAGGAAGCCTCGGAGCTCAGAGCTGCTGGGAAGACCAGGAAGACTAAGAAACCCGGACATGCCTAAGCTGCCCAGCACCCTGAGCTCGCTGGAGACCCACCTCTGCTCAGGAGGCGCCGGAGCGAGGCGGCGGGTCTCAGCTCGGTCAGTTCCCTCCTCAGCCGCTCACACTCCTTTTCCCGGGCCTCCAGCAGCTCCTGCTGGAAACGCAGAGCTCTGAGCTCAGCCTCATACTTGAAACCTCCAGGTTTAGTGGTTCAGAACTTATATTCATATATATTCATATTCATACATTTGGCAGACGGTTTTATCCAAAGCGACTTACAGGGTAAAGAGGAGCTGCATTGGCCGGGAAACGAACCCAGGTCAACTGCTTGGAAGGCAGCCATGCTAACCACTACACCACCACTCCTCCCAACTTAGAACTTAGCTGCCCTGGTGTGTTTTTTTTTTAAACGAAGCCATTTTGAAGACACTAGCAAAAAACCTGCACCTGCGTCTGTGCATCGGGGGAAGAGGCGGCCACGGCCCGGCCCAGCTGGCCCCTCAGGGCCTCCAGCTCCTCCTCCCACTGGACCTGCTGCGTCCGCAGCTGGTTCTCCAGAAACCTTCGTTCACACGGACAGACGAGACCGGGAGGACCGCTGAGAGCCGGTCAGAAGGCCTGACGTGGCCTGAGTGGGGTCGGGGTCGGCGGACTGACCTGTTGGCCACCCGTACGGCATCATAAGCGAAGGCCAGGTCCTCTCCTCTCATCTTCACCGCCGGCTCTTTGGCCACGTCCAGCCTCTCCATCAGCTGCTCCTGTGGAAGCAAACAGGGTGAGCTTTGACGCCGGGGGCTTCAGATTCCTGGTGCTGACAGGAGCTCCCGGGTGGTAATAAAGGTGTTTTTAGCGCTGTTATGTGTTATGTGTAGGTTAGGGTTGGGGGGGGGGGGGGGGTTGGGGTTAAAGTGTGTTTTTTTAAAAGGGGCGGACCGGGGATTTCACACCAAGGCCTTCAGTAGTGCTCCGTCAATTCACCCCTCAATACCTATTTTATGGTTATAAAAATCATCTTATTATGTAGAAAAGATCAGGGGTGCACAAGTCTTCTTCTACTGCAGCTACAGCTGCTATAACCCCCCTCCCCCCCAAAAAAAACCCATCAATAATATCCTCATAAACTCACAATATTATTTAGGAAAAAAGCATTCAGAGTTGTCTGAAATTTCTTAACAATGTCCAGCTTTTTTTAAAAAGTCCATCTTGAAATTGGCCTTGACAGTAAATCTGCCACCAAATCAATTTCTTCTCCTCCATCAGCCATTTTGGGGGGATAAAATAGCTATTACACCAACAACTATATTTCGGTTTGTTTGCTAGCTTTGGCTGGTACGCTATCTGACTGTCCAATCAACAGGTGATGTTGCCTTAGGCCTTCTAGAAGGCCCTGGTGTCACAAACTTGGGGGGGGTTCAAAATGCTTGTTTTAGTATTTTGGGTTTTAGAGTGTGGAATGTGTTCAAAGACATATTTTAGTGCTGATGTGTGTGGGTGGATTGGGGTGAGGATGAGGGGGGGTTGGTAGTAAAAAATTGTGTTTTTAGTGCTTTTAGTGCTTTAATGTGTGTGGATGGGTTGGTGGTTAATGCAAAATATGTGACTTTACCATCGGCGTTTCCGGGGCCCTCCTCTCCACGCAGGGAGACGTCACGCTGACCCGGCGCTGCTCCTCTGGGGACGGGAAAGCGGATGCAAAGGGGGAGGATACCGGCGACAGAGGGGGGGGGGGCAGCGGCTCCAGGCTCTGGGCGGAGTCGCTCCTCCTGTGGCCCCTGGCGCTCTGCACAGCAAAGAGGAGAAGACATGCAGCAAAACGGGACGCGTTTTAAAGGCGTTTTAAAGGTGTTTTAAAGGCGTTTTAAAGGCGTTTTTCAGGGGGGGCTCGGGAACCTCTGTGAGCAGGCTCATCTCCCTCAGGTTGTCGTATCTCTGCTCCAGTCTGGAGAACTCCCTCAGGAGTCCCTGATACTTGGTCTTCTCCTCGTCCAGCTGGGCCTGGAGAGCCGCGTTCGCCTGGGAGACAGCCTGATGCACGCTCTCTGTGGTCACCCAGAGGAGGAAAAAGGAGCGGTGAGGGATCCAGAACGCCAGAGGGATGAAATACAGTGGGGGAAATAAGTATTTGACCCCTTGCTGATTTTGCAGGTTTGCCCACTTACAAAGAATGCAACGATCTATAACTTTAATCATATGTACATTCTAACAGTGAAAGACAGAATCCCAAAGAAAATTCCAGAAAATCACATCATATGAATTTATAAAAATTGATAACCATCTGATGAGGAAAAATAAGCATTCTTTGTAAGTGGGCAAACCTGCAAAATCAGCGAGGGGTCAAATACTGATTTCCCCCACTGTACATCTGAAGGCAAAGTGGAGGCCGACCTTCCTGCGTTCTTTCTTGTTCGCACAAGCGAGCAGTGAGATCCTCTTTCTCTTTGCAAACATCGTCCTTCTCTTTCTTCAGGATCTCCAACTCCTTAAAAATAAAAAAACACACACACCAGATCGGCTGTTCAAATCTGGTCAGACGTGAATCCCCGGAGGCAGAAGCATGCTCTGTGAGTGTCCGGTTGCCTGTTTGAGTCGGAGGACTTCCTGCGCGGCCTTCTCCTCCGCTCTCCTCCTTTCCTCCACCTCCTTCTCGCTGATGACTGGACCGGCCGGGGGCTTCTCCGGCCTCTGGCTCTCCAGTTTGAGTATGATGGCCCTCAGGGCTTCCCTCTCGGCGGCTGCAGCCTCGCGCTCCGCGTTCAGGGTCTCCCTCAGAGCAGAGCCCTCCCTCGCCTGGACCAACACAAGAAAAACAGCCCGGTGAGGAACCAGTAGGGTTGTCAAAAGTATCGATAACTCAAAAAAGTATCGATACTAAAATGTTGTATCCAGATACGATATTCATTTTCAAAAGTACCGTGCGACGCCTTCTCTCTGATTTATTTATGTATTTATTTACGTTGTTTATGATCATTAACAAGACGTTAGCCTTGCTAGCTGCGGCTAATGGCTAATAATAACACGCCAACATTAATCAAGTACATATCCAACTCCCCCACATCCAAGTCGGCCATTTTGATTAGGTCACCAATAGGAAGATCCCAGGCAAGAAAATCATAATTGCTTCATGGCAATATAGACATTAATTTAAAAATAGTTAAATGAATCTTTCAAACACTTAATTAAACTCCATACATATTATGTTAAAATAGTGTATATTAAATCGGTTTGTACAATAAGTCCAAACAAGTTTAACCAAAAAATATTTATTTCTCACAATTATAAAGGGTGGAGGGTTAGGGTTAGGGTTAGGGTTAGGGTCATTAATGTGGGCCTCCAGTCACGATAACATCAGTAACAGGTCAGTTTGAAATGAAAGACACAATTCAGTTCAATTTTGGGGTCTTTGTTTTTATCCATGTGGTATCGAAAATGGTATCGAGTATCGAGTATTTTCCTGAGTATCGGTACCGAGTTGAACATTTCAGTATCGTGACAACCCGAGGAACCAGGGAAGGCCTCCACCCACCTCCTGGTCGGCTCTCATCTGGAGCTGCATCAGCTTGACCTCCATTCCCCGGTTGAGCTGCCGGTATTTCTCCACCGATCGGGCCTCGCTCTTCAGCCGCAGCAGCTGCCTCCTCGCCGCCCGCCGCCGCACGCAGCACTGCAGGAAAACCACGGCCGCGCGCAGCCGCCGGTACCCCCGGCGGGCCAACCAGCCCCGGGCCCCCGCCTGCAGCCGGACGGCCGCCCTCTGGGCCACCAACTGGGGAGCAGCAGAGCGAGATCAGAGTCTGAATGCGTGCGTTTGGTCTTTCTTTTCTTTAACCTTTATTTCAGTGTTTTTCAACCTTCTTTGAGTTTTGGTTTTCGCATTCCCAATGGGCTGCAGGCAAAGTAAAGAAGCTGGTTTTGGTTTGGGCTGCCTCCAACATGAAGGGGGGGGAGTGGAAGACTTGGTCCTCTACCTCAGTGTTTTTCAACCTTTTTTTAGCCAAGGTACATTTTTTCATTGAAAAAATCATAAGGCACACCACCAACCAAAAATGTTAAACAAATCTGTGGCCGCCTATAGTAACACTATAGTTATTCTTGTTTTATTCTTATCTTATCTTAGTGTCTCAAATAGGAATCAAATTAACAAAAATGTATTTTTATCATATCTTATATTTGTTCTTTCAAATTCCACTTAACATGTCCACTTCAATATATAAAATTATATACAAAATCTAGTCATAAGGAATTATTACATGATTACGCCACCAGTCACTAGAATAGCACAGACACTCAAAAATGGCATATTATTTGCAGATTATTAATTCCTTATCAAAAAATATTTTTAGACCACTGAGGTGAAATAGGATGATTTTGTACTCCACACCTTACCATCACTTGCAGCACACTAGCGTACCGAGGCACAGTGGTTGAAAAACAATGCTTTATTTAACCAGGAAGTCTCATTGAGATTCGGAATCTCTTTTTCAAGAGAGACCTGGCCAAGGTAGCAGCCAAACCACCAAAAAAATCATACATATTACATTTTACATAATAAAATCAGAGCAATGTTAAAACACATTGAGCATCTCAAGAAAGACAAGCACATATATCCATCACTACACTCTTCATGGTTGCTTTAAATTCATTAATGGACACTAAAGTTTTTAATTTGAGCTCTTTTTGGAGGTTATTCCAACCCCAAGGTGCAGAGTAGGAGAAGGCAGTTTTTCCCAACTCAGTTGAAGCCCGGGGTACATTAAAAAGTAACCACTGAGAGGAGCGCAACTGATAACTACCGGAACTCACAGAGAGGAGGTTACAGAGGTACAGTGGGAGGGTCTTTTGAGAGCAAGAAGACACCTCTGTAGTTCGGTAAAAACTGAACTCTGACCTGTCTGTGTCTGCGGCGGGCCAGCGCCCCCCTGGAGAACGCCTGGATGGTGAGGGTGGCCTGCCGGATGGTGAGAAACAGCTGCCTGACCACGGCCATTCGGTAGCTCTTCTGGATGACCAAGGCGGCCTTAGTGTGGCGCAGCGTCAGCGCCAGCCTGCCGCACAATCAAAGTCACGTCCAAACACACTGAAACTTCCCTTTAGATGTTATTTCACAGATATAATGTGGTGATGCTGCATTCAACATGAGGTTTTTTTTTAAACAACAATCACATGTTTAACTCATTGGCTGCCAAAGACGTCTGTAGATGTCTTTTATGTTTTTCAACGAGAGTGGTTTGGGGGACGATCTGCTAAAGCTTGTCCGTAAATATCAGGCTTCTAGAAAGAGTATGTAGTAAAAAATTGACCCTCTAGGTTGCACTGCCACTTTTGATGGGAGATGAGCATAGACTGTAGGCAAATAAGAAAAACGTAACGGTTCGCTATGAGAGAACATGTCGCCGGTGAGACGCAAGTCGAGGAAGAACGGAATAAGGTAGAAACTATTTTTTTTCCTGATGAAAGAAGATAGTCTACTCATTCTTTTGGTGTGTTCGGTGTTTACATATTCATAGCACAAACTATTCTGTGGCTCTTGAAAAATCAGTCAAAATGCTAAAAAAACTCTGGCAGTCAATGAGTTAAACAACTGATTTGCTTCCTTTTGCAAAACTGTGGATAAAATGTTGATTTGAAATCAACTTTCACCCAGAAACAAATCTTATTTAACTGTGTTGATACAAAAAAAAGTAGTATAGAAGACAGTTTTTCAAGTTTCCAATTCTAGTCATTCCCAGGAGTGTAACAATCAGTAATCCAGATCAAAGCACAGACAAAAATCAATCAATCAAATCTGTGCTCACCTCCTGGCCAGGGTTCCTCTGCTGTATCTCTGTATGGTGGCGGCGGCCCAGAGGATCCTGGCGTACCGGATCCGGGCCAGCCATCCTCTGACCCGGCTCTGGATGAGCGCGGCGGCCCCACGGAGCCGGTCGGCTCTCAGCCTCTCCAGGAGGGCCACCTGACCCGCCCGGAAGAAGACCTTGGTCTTCCCGAAGCAGTACTGGTCCTGGTCGGGGATGAGGAGGGGCAGGGCCTGCCTGCACAAAGCCTGATCCGGCCGCTGGGCCCCCGGCCCCCCCACCAGGACGCGGTACCGGCTGAAGAACTCCTCGTACGTCCATCTGGAGTCGTGAAAAAGATGGTGCACACTGATTGTAGAGGCATGGATGTGTTTAGCTCTGGACAACAGAGGGAGTGAGTGTGTTTGGATATATGTCTGTGTGTGTGTGTGGCTAAGTTTGGATGATGGCCTGATAATTATCACCTGTGTCTGCCCATGGATTTTGTCTTTTGTTTGTGATAGAGAGGGGTTGACATAGGGGCCGATATTTTCTGTTGACCGCAAAGTAACCGCAAAGTAACAAATCAATAGCCAAAGTATCTTTATATTCAATATACAATCTTCTCAATGCTTCTTCAACCAGCATTGGAGCCAAGTTTCATCATTAGAGTCAGCGAGTCAAACAGAGCCCTATGTCCTTCCCTCAGTGATTAATTTGGAGTGCGATAGTCACCCTACACTGATCAAGTAAAATATGAAACTGGAGGTGTGTCTCTTACCGGGATGGATAGCCGGCAGCGCTGATGCGGATGGTCTCCAGGACGCCGCAGGCTCTCAGCTGCTGGACCGTCCTCTTGGGATCGAACCTTAGAACAAGAGGACGTGAGTTACTGTTGAGCTGGGCTGTGTCCAGGATTTCTTTCTCGGGGGGTCCAGGTCGGGGCTCAGGCTATTGAGGGGGCGCACAATGAAATGTATATTTTCTGAATGCCCTGTGGCTTCTTATGGACTTCTTCTTCTTCATTTTCTTCTTCATCTTCCTCTTGTTCTTCTTCTTCTTCTTCATTTTCTTCTTCGTCTTCCTCTTGTTCTTCTTCTTGTTCTTCTTCATTTTCTTTTTTTTCTTCGTCTTCTTCTGTGGTTTAGTGCAGACCTGCTTCTACCTGCTGCCTCCTTTGCCTGCTTTCTTTGTCCTGTTGCGTCTGGGGGCCTTTCTCGGCATTTGCCCCCCTAAATCCTAAAACCTGAGGGCCAGAGGGTTCTGGGTTGGAGTCCCGGGGGAACCAGGACCTTTCTGGGTGGAGTCTGCATGTTCTCCTGTGTCTGTGGGTTCTCTCCGGGTTCTACGGCTTCCTCCCACCGTCCAAAAACCTGCATGTGAGGTTGATTGGACATTCCAAATATCCCTTAGGAGTGAATGAGAGTGTGCGTGGTTGTTGGTCCTTGTGTGTCTCTGTGTGGCCCGGCGATGGACTGGCGGACCGTCCAGGGTGACCCTGCCTCTCGCCCACTGACCACTGGGATAGGCTCCAATTCTCCCCGCGAACCCATGAGGGGAACAAGTGGTAACGATAATAGATCGATAATGGATGGATGGATGGATGGATGGGACTTAGTTTGAGGGGGCAGAGCATTTATCTGAGCATTTCTGGCCCCTGCCTGGACCCGGCCCTTTACGCACAGGTACGTATGGGTGGGGACTCACATGAAAGGCTCCTTCAGGTCGTTGGGCTTGATGCAGCGGACGTAGTGGGGGGTGGTGCTGTTGAGGGTGTCCATCAGCATCTGCAGGGACTGACGGAACTAGGGGAGCAGAGACGGCCGTGAGGCTTCACCGAACAGCAGTCCGACCACAGGGCGGGACGAGGTCTCACCTGGAATCCGACGGTCAGCCTGTGCTCTCTGGGGGCCCGCCTCCCCGAGCGGACGCTCCCATTGGCCGGCCCGTTCCCCTGCTGCTGGAACAGCTCGGCCACCAGCTCCGACTGACCACACACGCACAGCTCAACTCACGCAAAAGCAGACACGACCCCGGAGGGGTTCCTGGGCTTTGGGCGCCTACCTGACTGGCTCTGAGGATGTTGATGAGCTCCTCGAAGACCGTGTCTCGGTTCTTGTCCAGAAAGCCTCCACACTCGTACTGGACCTGATTGGAGAGAGAGAGGCTTTCGGGGGTCAGGCCGAGCGTGGGGAGGGCCAAAGGCCCAGAGGTGTGTGTGTGGGGGGGGGGCTGACCGTGTCGGCGAAGTGCAGGACGATGAAGGCGCTGTTGGACATGCGCGGCTTTCGGAGGTGCGGGTGCGGGCTGCTGCCCAGGTGCTGGGCGTACAGCTTACGCACCCAGCTGTCGTCGGAGCCTTTGGGCATCTGGACCGGTCAGCACAGAGTTTTAGTTTTAGTTTGGTGGGGGGAAACGGGTGAGAGGAGGAGGGACGGGGGGACTGTTAGAATTTGGCGATAATTACTCACTTTGGCATTGTATGCTGTCACATGATCTATGTAAATTACTGATTGTTTTATTTTCTTTTATAACTATTGTATATTTAGTTCTTTTAGTTTTTATATTGTTGTTATATTTCTCCTCTTTCTTTTCCTTTTCTCTCTTTTTCTTTCTCTGTTGCATTATATCCACGTCTTTAAGTCAACATGAACACACACCATTTGGTACCACATTCCAATGTCATCTGCATGAATTAGGACCTGGCCTGTTCCTGCCCAGAGGTAACTGGCCAATAGGACTTGGTTGTGTCCAGTCCTCCTTTGAGGGATTTCCCCAGCCCAGGAGACAAATACCCATGAGATCTCAGGGCTCTTTTCCGACTGAGACCCAGAGAGAGGTTTTTGTCTGTTAGAGCCCATCTGATATACTTAACTATGTCCAATGAATTATCTTTTTGTACTTTCGGTCTACTCGGGTACATGCTCAGGTTTCCAACTAAAGAATCGGGTTAACAGGACGCACCCGGCACTCCTCGTCCAGCAGGTCGAACATGCCCAGCTGGCCCTCTATGAGCGAGATGCACAGCTGGTTGTCGCTGAACTCGATCCGGTTCCAGGCCAGCTCCTCCCGGACGTACTCCTCCTGCTCCAGCTGGAACACGTGCTTCAGAAAAAACACAGAACACAGGTTTTAGGGTTTGAACCCGGTACAGAATCGAACGCATCTAGATCTGTGCGGCACTTTGTGTTTGCTTTTTCTCCCTCTGAGCAAAAGAAAGGCCAACGTCATGCCTCCAAAGCTCGAGGCCTGTGGTCCATGAAGGATTGTACCTCTAAAGCCATTCAGATGATGTGGAGACTCCTCCTCACTGACTGGTTGTTCTCATTTGATTTGTTCTTAAAAAAATTTCATTCTTACTTTTTTAAAAACCGGAATCACACAAATAATCATGCAGCTCCATGTTACCGTGTACTTTTATCTGTTTGATAATTGTCAGTCTAGCAGTTCAAAAGTAAGTAAATATTTCTAAAGATGCCTCAAATTGAGGTGGAAACTTCAACAAACCACAAAAACCTCAACAAGTACGAGCAAATAAGCCCAAAACCCGAACACCACCCTGAGCACAAACCTTTTTTCCACAGGCGGAGGGAAGAACTCACCCTGTTAAACTGCTGCTGGAGTTTTTCGTTGGCGTAATTTATGCAGAACTGCTCAAAGCTGTTCCGCTCAAACGTCTCAAACCTGCCCCGGAGACACAAGTCAATCTGAAAAAAACACCTCACAAAACACAAAACACCGCCGACCATCAACACACACGGCTCAGGTGCTCACCCATAGATGTCCAACACCCCTATGAAGGACTTGGCCTTGCCCCCCTGTGTGCGCAGGGCGGAGTTGAGCCTCTGGACGGTCCAGGTGAACAGCTGGCCGTAGATGTGTTTGGCCAGCGCGTCTCTGGCCTCCAGGGCCTGCTGACCGGTGGTGGGCTTCACCAGCATCTCCCCCCCCCATGGCCAGCCGGCGGTGGCAGAGCCAGTGGGCCATCTGAGACCCCTCCGCCCCCAGCAGCTTAGAGGAGACGGCCAGAGATGGGTCGTCCGCCTGGAGGGGGGGGGGAATGGCGTCAACTCTATATCTTTAAAAAGCACCTTTCGTGCCACTCAAGGACTCTTTAAAAAGACGATCGTCATGAAAACAACATTGAAACATAAGAAAACATGCAAAGTCATATATACATCATAAATAAAAACATAAAAAATGGGAAAAAAATTGAATGAATAAAACTGTGCAAAATGAGGGGAATGTTAGAGTTAGGGGGGGTAAGGTGGGTAAGAAATTTTAAACAGGTGGGTTTTGAGTTTTCTTTTGAAAAGAGGGAGAGAGTCGATATTTCAGATGTCAGATGGCAAAGAGTTCCAGAGTGCTGAGGTTAGGGTTAGGGTTAGGGTTTAGGTATTTGGGGTTAGGGGTTAGGGTCAGGGTTTAGGTATTAAGGGTTAGGGTTAGGGTTTAGGTATTAGGGGTAAGGGTTAGGGGTTGCCCCCCATGGTGCTGAGGTGAGGGTCAGGGTTAGGGTTAAGGTATTAGGGGTTAGGGTTAGGGTTAGGGTTCGGGTTACGGGTTGCCCCCCATGGTGCTGAGGTTAGGGGTTAGGGGCAAGGCTGTGGACAGCTTTGAAGGTGTATAGAAGGATTTTGAATTGGATTCTTATGGTGACTGGGAGCCAGGGGAGTGGCTGTAGGAGGGGGGTGATATGGTTGGAAGCAGAGTTTTGGACTCCGTTTTAAACTCGGTTTTAAAGCCAGAAGCGAAAGCAGAAAATGGTTTACGTCGATGTAACTCCGCTCAGAGCTCCTCCCGCTGGCCCGGATGTTCACGTTTCCCAGATGCAGAACGGCCGACAGGATCCTGAAAAGCTCCATCTGCTGGTCGGGCGGCACGCCTACGATTCCCAACATTCAGAGTAAAGACAAGTCGCGTATACAGTGGGGGAAATAAGTATTTGACCCCTTGCTTATTTTGCAGGTTTGCCCACTTACAAAGAATGCAACGATCTATAACCTCTAATCATATGTACATTCTTACAGCGAAATTCAGAATCCCAAAGAAAATTCCAGAAAATCACATCATATGAATGTATAAAAATTGATAACCATCTGATGAGGAAAAATAAGCATTCTTTGTAAGTGGGCAAACCTGCAAAATCAGCAAGGGGTCAAATACTTATTTCCCCCACTGTATATATTCTCCTCTGCTTTTCCCTGGGTGTCCCGGGGGGGTCTGGACTTACCCAGAACGGTCAGAGCAGAGCGGGTGCGCTCCAGGTCGGCCTGGTCGTCGGCCCCGGGTATCCGGGTCTCTCCGCCCTGGTTGGTGTAGCGGAAACGCTCCGGCGCATCTGGGAACCAGAGAGAACCACGTCAGCACCAGCAACCGGGACCTTTTCAGACCTACGGTCCTTTTATTTAGAACAGTGTTTTTCAACCACTGTGCCTCGCCACACTAGTGTGCCGCGAGTGATCGTCAGGTGTGCCGTAGAAAATTAATTAATTATCCGCAAATAATAAGCTATTTTTGAGTGTCTGTGCTGTACTAGAGACTGGTATGTATGCATGTAATAATTCCTTATGACTAGATTTTGTATTTAATTTTGTATATTGAAGTGGACATGTTAACTCATTGGCTGCCAAAGACGTCTATACACGTCTTTTATGTTTTTCAACGCGAGTGGCTTGGGGGACGATCTGCTAAAGCTTTTCCGTAAATATCGGCTTCTAGACAGAATATGTAGTAACAAATTAACCCTCTAGGTAGCATTGCCACTTTTGATGGGAGATTAGCATAGATCGTAGGCAAATAAGAAAAACGTAATGGTTCGCCATGCGAAAAATGGCGCCGGTGAGACGCAAGTCGAGGAAGAACGGAATAAGGTAGAAACAAAAAAAATGTTCCTGGTGAAAGAAGAGAGTCTACTCTTTCTTTTGGTGTGTTCGGTGTTTACATAGTCAAAGCACAAACTATTCTGTGGCTCTTAAAAAATCAGTCAAAATGCTAAAAAAACTGGCAGTATGGGACTCTCTGTACTGAAAATGGCTGGCAGTCAATGAGTTAAGAGCAATTTGAAAGAAGAATATAAAATATGATAAAAAGACAAGAAAATTAAGATAAGATAAGAATAACTATAGTGTTGGGCCACAGCGTAGCCCAATGGTTACAGCGGGCGAACCATGTGTGGAGCCTCTCCTTAGAAGCGGGCGGCCTGGGTTTGATTCAAGCTACTGTCATTAAAGGCCAGTAGAGCCAACAAAATCTTTGAAAATAAAAAGAATAACTATAATGTTACTATAGGTGGCTTCAGATTTGTTTGACATTTTTGGTTGGTGGTGTGCCTCGTGATTTTTTTCAATGAAAAAAAGGTACCTTGGCTCAAAAAAGGTTGAAAAACAGTGCTTTAGAAAAGGGTCTGGAGGAGTATCTGTGAGTTTTCCTGACCCAGATGAAGAGGCTTCATCTCGGGCAGCTGCCTGGAGGCGCACAGCTGGTAGAAGATGTGGTAGTTCCTCTCCGCCGACGCCTGGAACACAGACACCCGTCAGCCCTAGGGTTGTCAAAAGTATCGATACTTTTTCGAGTATCGATACTAAAATATTGTATCCGGATACGATACTCATTTTCAAAAGTATCGATACCACCGTGCGACCCCTTCTCTGATTTATTTATGTATTCATTTACGTTGTTTATGATCATTAACAGGCGGCACGGTGGTGTGGTGGTTAGCACTGTCGCCTCCCAGCAAGAGGGTTCTGGGTTCGAATCCCGGGGGAACCAGGACCTTTCTGGGTGGAGTTTGCATGTTCTCCCTGTGTCTGCGTGGGTTCTCTCCGGGTTCTCCGGCTTCCTCCCACAGTCCAAAAAAACCTGCATGTTAGGCTGATTGGAGATTGGGGAAATTGCCCTTAGGAGTGAATGTGAGTGTGAGTGGTTGTATGTCCTGTGTGTGGCCCTGCGATGGACTGGCGGACTGTCCAGGGTGTACCCTGCCTCTCGCCCGTTGACCACTGGGATAGGCTCCAGTTACCCCCGCGACCCCATGAGGGAATAAGCGGTATTGATAATGGATGGATGAATGGATGATCATTAACAAGACGTTAGCCTTGCTAGCTGCGGCTAATGGCTAATAATAACACGCCAACATTAATCAAGTACATATCCAACTCCCCCACATCCAAGTCGGCCATTTTGATTAGGTCACCAATAGGAAGATCCCAGGCAAGAAAATCATAATTGCTTCATGGTAAAATAGACATTATTTAAAAATAGTTAAATGAATCTTTCAAACACTTAATTAAACTCCATACATATTATGTTAAAATAGTGTATATTAAATAGGTTTGTACAATAAGTCCAAACAAGTTTAACCAAAAAATATTTATTTCTCACAATTATGAAGGGTGGAGGGTTAGGGTTAGGGTTAGGGTCATTAATGTGGGTTAGGGTTAGGGTTAGGGTTAGGGTCATTAATGTGGGTTAGGGTTAGGGTTAGGGTTAGGGTTAGGGTCAGGGTCATTAATGTGGGCCTCCAGTCACGATAACATCAGTAACAGGTCAGTTTGAAATGAAAGACACAATTCAGTTAAATTTTGGGGTCTTTGTTTTTATCCTTGTGGTATCGAATATAGAGTATTTTCCTGAGTATCGGTATCGAGTTGAAAATTTTAGTATCGTGACAACCCTAGTCAGCTTTACCGCTCCCAGAGAGAAACAGTCCCATAAACGGCTCACCTGGAAGACCACCCTGGACTTCTCCAGCAGGTACGTCCTCATGTGGGCCCCGATGATGTCGCCCTTCCGGCCGAAGCCGATCTCGATGTACTTCCCGAACCGACTGCTGTTGTCGTTTCGGGTGGTTTTCGCATTCCCAATGGACTGCAAGGCAAAATAAAGAACTTGGTTTTGGTTTGGAGTGCCTCCAACATCGGGGGGGGAGTGGAAGACTTGGTCCTCTACCTCAGTGTTTTTCAAACTTTTTGAGCCAAGGTACATTTTTTCAAAAAAAATCACGAGGCGCACCAACAACCAAAAATGACAAACAAAACTGTAGCCGCCTATAGTAACACTATAGTTATTCTTATCTTATCTTAAGTGTCTCGAATAGGAATCAAATAAACACAAAAATGTAATTTTATCATATTTTATATTTCTTCTCTCAAATTGCACTTAACATGTCCACTTCAATATACAAAATTATATACAAAATCTAGTCATAAGGAATTATTACATGATTACGCCACCAGTCACTAGAATAGCACAGACACTCAGAAATGGCATATTATTTGCAGATAATTAATTCCTTATCTAACAATCTTTTTAGACCAATTAAGTGAAATAGGATGATTTTCTACGGCACACCTGACTGTTGAAAAACACTGCTCTACCTCCATGATGGGGTTGGAGGCCAGGACCTTCTCCTCCACGCTGGTCTGCCGGGCAGCCCCCCCGACCACGGCGAAGTACCTCATGGTGAATTTGGCCGAGACGGTTTTCCCCGAGCCCGACTCCCCGCTGATGATGATGGACTGGTTCTTCTCCTCCCTGACCGTACATGAGGCGTTAGGATTAACCTCCCCCCCCAAAAACACACAGAGAAAAGGCCCCCGCCTGCCCCCCCACCTGGTCATGGTGCGGTAGGCCTCCTCGGCCACAGAGAAGACGTGGGGCTCCATGTCGGCCATGTCCTGACCGCTGTACGCATCGATGACCTCCTCCCCGTATATGGGCAGCTGCTCGTAGGGGTTGATGGCCACTAGCACGATACCTGGAGGGACAGGTGACGTTTTAAAAAAACTGTTTGTGCTGCGTTCACGGTCAAAAAACTGATTTTAGCAAATATATACGAGTTAATGGGGAAAGGCATTACTACTGAATCTTCAGTTTCATCTTCAAAACTTCACTTAACTTCTAGTAAAAGTGACATGAATTAACTAGATTTGTCCACTTTTAAACAAGACAAACTGGACCAAAACGCAGAAATCTTTACTCATTCTGTGGAATTAATGTCAGTGAGGCCATTTCCAAACAGCTCCATCGTCTAAGTGGCGAAGTTTAAAATCTGGATTGGATGAGTCTTTGTTTGATGTGTGTATAGAGGGAGCATTGATCTGTTCTGCACACGAAGGTGAAGCACAGCCCACTCTTAGCCCACTCTGTGGCCACTCTGAGGCCACTCTTAGCCCACTCTTAGCCCACTCTGAGCCCCCTCTTAGCCCACTCTTAGCCCACTCTAAGACCACTCTGAGCCCCCTCTTAGCCCACTCTTAGCCCACTCTGAGCCCACTCTGAGCCCACTCTGAGCCCACTCTGAGCCCACTCTGAGGCCACCAGCAGTACGGCTGAAGCTGAGCCCTGGAGAAGGTGATTTTATTATGTCCTGACAAATAAAACCTCTGAGTGGCTGTAAACCCCAAACCAGCTTTACTCAGCGTGACAGAGAGGGAGTTCCCTTCCTGCCTTGACCTTTGAGCCTCTGATTTATAGACAATACTACGTGACGTTATCGTGCAAACGGAAGCAGACGGAAGCTGTCCAGGTTTTGCTTTTGTCGCCACCCAGACCGAACGGCCTTCTGCCGGCCGCTCTGCTCACCGCAGTACGTGTAAATACTGCTGTAGTCCAGGAATCGAACCCGCAGGTTGTGCAGCACAGCTGGCTCGTGGAGAAAGCTGAGGGCCGTCAGGTCGTTTTCCCCCTCCAGGATGTCGGGGTTCCCCAGCGGGGGCAGGTCAGAGGGGGACTCCACGCTGTAATGGACCTCCTATAGATGGTGGGGGGAGTTAGAGATCAATGGTGGAGTAAAGTACTACTCTGCATAGTGCTATTGCTGTCATAACTTCTACCATTATCATTAATATTAATATCATTGCCATTTTTCATCTAGTCTATGTCTTTCCCTCACCCCCAACCGGCCGAGGCAGATGGCCGCCCACCCTGAGCCATGGTTCTGCTCCAGTTTTCTGCCTGTTAAAAGGACGTTTTTCCTTGCCTGTGTCGCCTAGTGCTTGCTCATGGTGGGAATTATTGGGTTTCTGTAATTAACTTCAGAGTAGGGTCTGACCTGCTCTGTTTGGAAAGCGCTGTGAGACAACTGTTGTTGTGATGGGGCGCTATATAAATAAAATTGAATTGAATTGAATTAAATATATTCATATCTAGAAGTAAAGAAAGCTTTTAGAATAACAGTCATTACTCAACCATCTATTTTCTGGTATGGACAACCTCTAAGAGGCAGACAGCGGCTCTGACCAGCAGCTCTCATAAACTTGTTAAATAAAGATGACTTGTTTGTGCACTTCACACTTCATATTAATCAGGACAGCGTGTTTTAGACGGCGTGCATGTCTCACATCTCCATCAGCGAGCTGCAGAAGGAGCTGCCTGTCCCCTGGCCGGTAGTCCTGCAGGAGCTGGGCCGAGGCCCACACAGCGTCTGGGTCAGGGACCCACACGCTGGCCCCCTGAAAAAGACAGCCCAAAGTTATAAAAGCAGACGGAAACCCAGCTGATGGCGAGTAGGATGTATAAATCATGAGATGTAGAAACAGTATCCGAGGCATGACCGGGCTCTGGTGTCCCTCCGTGCCCCACCCAGCGCAGACGTTTGTCCCCATCAGCACAAAACGCTTTAAATGGTGTTAAAAATTAACACCGGTCATCCTCTCTGCACTGCCTTCATGGATCAGCCATCTTTAACCCTTTATCACAGTTCTGTTCTTAAAGTTTTATCTACAGCTTACATTCAAAAGCTAAATCTCACACCTGCTGTCTTTAGAGGGAGAAAGTTTGAGTCTTTTTAACTACAGTTTTTTTATGTATCATTTCTTTTATCTTATTTATTTAATCAGGACAGTGCACATTAATGAACAATCTCATACAGATTGTAAATGAGCCAGATTCCAGCATAGTCGCTAATTTACATGTCGTCCTGAGGCAGGAAGACAAAACAACACAAAATCACATAATACAATATCAGGTAAAACAGAGAGACACACGTTCAGACAATGACATTGAAAAAAATAAAAGGATTGGTGTTATTCTGAAGCCCCAAACGGATACAATGACAGCAGTCTAACCTGGAAAAGCTTCATTCAAAGACACCAGCTCTTCCTCAGATTTACATTTGACCCCGTTTGAATGATGGCAGAACTCCTGAGAGTGCACCGTGCTGTGCTGCTTACCTTTGTGTATAACTCCAGAGTCGTCATCTTTAGGATAGTTTAGGCAGAGGCCATGTTGAGACCCAGAAGAGGAGAGCGAGTTCCTGCACCGAGCGGTGAATCTGAGCCAGTGGCGGCGTTTTTGCCCTTTGTCCAGACTGACGGCCATCCGGGTTAACTGTTAATCTGCGGGATGCTGCGGCTCCCACCGGACTATCCCCAACCCACCCCACCCCACAGCCAAGGTAAAAAACAAAACAATAAAAACACTCAATATGCAGGTTTTGTGACATTCTGACACATTTTAATAAGCAACACAATCAAATTCATTTCAGCAATCAGCCTGCTGATGTGTGTGTGTGTGTGTGTGTGTGTGGGTGGGGGGGGGGGGGGGCGATTCATGATTACAGCCGGATCCACTGCTCATCCAACAAGGATGGAAATAAAAAAAAAAGATACAAAAAAGACACTAAAAGGATTAAAACTATCAGTATTTTCGCTGTCACCAGTTATTGTGCGTCATTTTAAAAGGAGGCAGCGTGTGTGTGGTAGCATGACACCTGACAATAAAGAGAAAAAAAAGAAACAGTAGCAATGTCTCCTAACATCACTAAGCACCTAGAATTACCACCGAAACCTTTTAAAAAAGTAGAATCGAACAACCAGAAGAGGGCTACAGTCATTTTCCTGTCGTCGCCCTCGTTAAAAGCCTTTCCGATGACTCGTCCTCTCATTGGGCGAGTCGGGGCTAAAGCGCACAAACACCAATGACAAACATCCCGGGGTAAAAACGGCTCCGGACCTCCTACGTCCTATCACCTACAGCCGGGGGGGGGGGGGGGGAGATCTACACCTGCTCACGGAGCACACCGTCTGACTTCCAGAAAGAGGCTAAAAGTAGAAAAACATTCACTCCCACTCCGCCCGGACCTGAAAAGCAAACAAACAAACAAACAAACAAACCCGCTTTCTGCCGACACCACTTCGTTTGGATCCAACATGATTGTCGCAGAAAACTCAAACCCTTCCGGTAAAAACACTGATTCCACACACGGAGGATGAATCACTTTTTCACATCTGAGAGTTCACCGGTGTCTTTTTCTTTTCTTTTTTTTT